GTTTTTGCTATAGGGCGCGTGCGCTCGCCAGACAGAGAGAGAGAGACCGAGAGACAGAAAGCGAGAAATCACCCCCCAGTGGGGATGGCCACACCGCAATCCCTTCTCCTCCATTCTCCTCTTGGGATCTTGGGCATGCACGCACACGCACCCGGCGTGAGTTTAAGCCACCGGGTCCGGGACTTGAAACCCAGTTGACTACATGGCAGCTTTCTGGCCATCCTCCCTGAGGGTTGATTTCGCATTTTCTCTCTGTCTATCTATCTCTGTCTCTAGTGAGCACATGCACTTGAGAGCAAAACTAAAATAATTAATTTCACCCACCAAAGGTGAAGTGAAAGTTGTGTCTTGCCATCATGTTCCCTCTATAAAAGGAAAATTTTTAGTTTTTCTTTTTTGGAGAGGTTTTTGCTATAGGGCGTGTGCGCTTGCCAGAAAGCCAGAGAGAGACAGAGAGACAGAAAGCAAGAAATCACTCCCCAGTGGGGGATGGCCACGCCGCAATCCCTTCTCCTCTGTTCTCCTCTCAGGATCTTGGGCACGCACGCACACGCGCCCGGTGTATGTTTAAGCCACCGGTTCCGGGACTCGAACCGCGGTCGACTACATGGGAGTCCAGGGACGTAACCATTACGCCAACTGCTGGTCCAACAAATGTTTTTTTAAAAGTAAAACTTTCGGGACCAGCAATTGGCATAATGGCTATGTCGCTGGACTCCCATGTAGTCGACCGTGTTTCGAGTCCCAGAACCAGTGGCTTAACTCACGCCGGGTGCGTGTGTGTGCGTGCCTAAGATCCTGAGAGGAGAATGGAGGAGAAGGGGGGTGATTTCTCGCTTTCTGTCTCTCTCTTTGTCTTTCTGGCAAGCGCTTGTGCCCTATAGCAAAAAACTCTCAATTAAAAAAATAAAAAAGGGAACCAGCAGTTAGCGTAATGGCTATGTCGCTGGACTCCCACAGAGTCGACCGCGGTTCGCGTTCCGGACCCGGTGGCTTAGAACTCACACCGGGCACGTGTGCGTGCGTGCCCAAGATCCCGAGAGGAGAATGGAGGAGAAGGGATTGCGGCGTGACCATCCCCCTGGGGGGTGATTTCTCGCTCTCTGTCTCTCTGTCTCTGTCTGGCAAGCGCATGTGCCCTATAGCGAAAACCTCTCCAAAAAAATTAATTAATTCAAAAAATAAAAAGAAAAAAACATTTTTTTCTTTAGGGCACATGCGCTCACTGGAGACAGACTGAGAGAGAGGGAAAGTGAGAAAACACCCCAAGGGGGAGGAGGTTGGCCATGCCGAACCCCTTCTCCATTCTCTCTGGATTTGGGGCATGCATGCACACACACCCAGTGTGATTCTTAAACTGCTGGGCGTGGGATTTGAACCGCAGTCTGCTTTGTGGGATCTAGTTGCCTTAACCTCTGTACCACCCGCTGGCCCAAGGAAAATGTACAATTTAAGCCAACAGTGAACCCTCAGAGACGCTTAGGGAGTTACCAAGCTTCCTTCGGGTCCTCCTGTCAAGCTCCGGTCAAGGCCACCCCTGGCGCCCGAGTGTTGGTGAAATACTGGCAGGTCTGGGAGCTGACCAGGCCCGTCCTCCCTCTGCAGTGCCGTGAAGAACCTGGTGGACAGCAGCATCTACTTCCGCAGCGTGGAGGGCCTGCTCAAACAGGCCATCAGCATCCGGGACCACATGAACGCCAGCGCCCAGGGCCACAGGTAGCTCTCGCGCCCGCCTGCCCTCAGCCACCTCCTCGCTCAGCCTGCAGCCTTTCTGAGAAAAGGCCGCCCGTTCTGAAAAAACTACCCTTCCTCTTCTCTCTGGTTGGCACCTCCCTCTTGGTCTTTGGCATCTGTAGCACCCAAGTCCTGAGCTCTGGGGTGTCACCAGCCCTAGACCGGGTGCTGGGGACACAGTGATGGGCTTAGAGAGAGACAGAGAGAAACACAAAATGAGAAATCACCCCCCAGGGGGGATGGCCACACCACAATCCCTTCTCCTCCATTCTCCTCCTGGGATCTTGGGCGCGCACGCACACGCACCCAGTGTGAGTTTCTAACTGCTGGGTCCAGGACTTGAACCACAGTTTACCGTGTGAGAGTCCAGTGATATAACTTTACTTACTCTAGGGTGTGTGTGCTCACCAGGGAGCAAATGAGGAAGTGAGAAAACATCTCCCCATGGGGGGATTTCTCGCTCTCTGTCTCTCTGTCTCTGTCTGGCAAGCGCATGTGCCCTATAGCGAAAACCTCTCCAAAAAAATTAATTAATTCAAAAAATAAAAAGAAAAAAACATTTTTTTCTTTAGGGCACATGCGCTCACTGGAGACAGACTGAGAGAGAGGGAAAGTGAGAAAACACCCCAAGGGGGAGGAGGTTGGCCATGCCGAACCCCTTCTCCATTCTCTCTGGATTTGGGGCATGCATGCACACACACCCAGTGTGATTCTTAAACTGCTGGGCGTGGGATTTGAACCGCAGTCTGCTTTGTGGGATCTAGTTGCCTTAACCTCTGTACCACCCGCTGGCCCAAGGAAAATGTACAATTTAAGCCAACAGTGAACCCTCAGAGACGCTTAGGGAGTTACCAAGCTTCCTTCGGGTCCTCCTGTCAAGCTCCGGTCAAGGCCACCCCTGGCGCCCGAGTGTTGGTGAAATACTGGCAGGTCTGGGAGCTGACCAGGCCCGTCCTCCCTCTGCAGTGCCGTGAAGAACCTGGTGGACAGCAGCATCTACTTCCGCAGCGTGGAGGGCCTGCTCAAACAGGCCATCAGCATCCGGGACCACATGAACGCCAGCGCCCAGGGCCACAGGTAGCTCTCGCGCCCGCCTGCCCTCAGCCACCTCCTCGCTCAGCCTGCAGCCTTTCTGAGAAAAGGCCGCCCGTTCTGAAAAAACTACCCTTCCTCTTCTCTCTGGTTGGCACCTCCCTCTTGGTCTTTGGCATCTGTAGCACCCAAGTCCTGAGCTCTGGGGTGTCACCAGCCCTAGACCGGGTGCTGGGGACACAGTGATGGGCTTAGAGAGAGACAGAGAGAAACACAAAATGAGAAATCACCCCCCAGGGGGGATGGCCACACCACAATCCCTTCTCCTCCATTCTCCTCCTGGGATCTTGGGCGCGCACGCACACGCACCCAGTGTGAGTTTCTAACTGCTGGGTCCAGGACTTGAACCACAGTTTACCGTGTGAGAGTCCAGTGATATAACTTTACTTACTCTAGGGTGTGTGTGCTCACCAGGGAGCAAATGAGGAAGTGAGAAAACATCTCCCCATGGGGGATGGTCATGCCACAGTCCCCTCGCCTCCATTTCTCCTTTGGGGATTTTGGACACACACACATGCCTGGTGTGTTTTCTTTTATATATATATACATATATATATATATTCCATTTATCTTTATTTATTTACTTATTTTAATTTGACCAGAGAGAGAGAGAAAGTGAGAAACCAAACCACCAGGCCCGGGACTCGAACCGCAGTCGGCCATGTGGGACTCCAGCACTTTTAACCACCACAACACCTGCCGACCCCACCTCCCACCTGGTGTGTTTTCTAAGTCACCGGGTCTGGGACTCTAACCACACAGTTAGCCATGTGGGATCCAGCCAGTTAACTACCATGCCGTAGGCTGGCCGGCCCACTTCTGATTATTATTATACTTTTTAAAGGTTTTTTTTTTTGTTTTTTTTTTTTGAAATAATTATTTTACTAGGACCAGCAGATGGTGTCATGGTTATGTCATGGGACTTCCATGTAATCGACCACGGTTCAAGTCCTGAACCAGGAGGCGTAAAACTCATGCTGGGCTCGTGTGCGTGCATACCTAAGATCCCAAGAGGAGAATGAATGAAAAGGATTACAGCGTGGCCATGGCCCCTGAGGTGTGATTTCTCACTTTCTGTCTCTGTCTTTCCAGTGAGCATACGTGCCCTATAGCAAAAACCTCTCTCTCAAAAAAAAAAGAAAAAAAATTATTTAACTTTATTCACCATTTTTTTAAGTTTATTTTTAAGAATTATTTATTTTTAATTGTATTTATTTGTTAATGTTATTTTTTTAATGATAGCAGAGAAAGAGAGAAGGAAAGTGAGAAAGCAAGCCACCCGATCTGGGATCCGAACTGTGTTTGGCCATGTGGGAGTCCAACGTCTTAACTACTATGCCATTTACCGGCCCTATTATTATTATTTTTAATTTAACCAGAGAGAGACAGAAAGAAAGAAAGAAATTGAAAAAACAATCTGCCAGGTTCGAGACTCTAACCATGGTTTGCCATGTGGAAGTCCAGCATCTTAACTACCACTCTACCTGGAGGCTCCCTTTTTAAAAAATATTTTTTGCTACAGGGTGTGTGCATTTCACAGAGACAGAGAGGCAGAAAGAGGTAGGGAAAATGAGAAATGAACCCCTGGTGGGGGGGCTCCATGTCACAATCTCCATTCTCCTCTCGGGATTTTGGGCACACACACACACACCTGTGTCTGGAGTAATTTTCAAGCCACTGGGTCTGGGACTCGAACTTCACTGCTGGTAACATGGGATTAAGCACCTTAACTTCCGTACCACCTGCCTACCTCCCATTTTGAATCCCAGACACAGTGGCTTGAAAAAATTTTGGGGGGAGTGGGGAGAGGTTTTGGCTATAGGGCACGTGCGTTCGCCAGAAAGACAGAGAGACAGAAAGCGAGAAATCACACCCCGGGGGGACGGCCACTCCACAATCCCTTCTCCTCCATTCTCCTCTCAGGATCTTGGGCACGCATCCACACGCGCCTGGCATGAGTTTAAGCTACCGGGTCCAGGACTCGAACCTCAGTCAACCACATGGAAGTCCAGCGACACAGCTGTTACGCTAACTGCTGGTCCCTCCATGCTTCCATTTTTAATGAGGATGCCCCAAAGGCTCAGGTCTCTTGGGAGACCAGACCATGACCCAAACCCAGGCCAGCAGGCCCCACAGCCTCAGATCTCGGCCTCATGAACTCCGCGCACGTTTTGTTTCAGCCCTGGGGAACCGCCCCCGCCCTCCTCAGCCTGATCCTGGAAGACATTTAGAGGCCCCTGGGCCTCCCCCTAAGCCAGGTCAGTGCCAAGGGTAGTGGTGAGCTTCTCTGCTCTGGACTAACTGCCCACTCCCCTCTGGCACTCTCTAACCACTCACTTCTCGGGGGTTTCTCACCGCTGGGCTTTTAGGGGAAGGGGACGGGCATCCGCAGGCTTCGAACGGCCCTGTCCACTGTTTGGGACTTTGTCAACCCACCTTGCCCTCTCTCTGCCATCTTCCTGCCTCTTATCCAGGCCATCGGCCTGTCCTCGTCCCAGGGAACACCCTCCAAGCCAGACAGAGGGGAGCCACGTTTGCCCTCCTGCCCTGTGCCAAACACACCTCCCCTTAGCAGACCCTAGCTCCGCACCATCCCCAAACCGCCTTTCCCCAGCCAACCTGCTGTGTGACCCTGAGCACATCTCTTGCCCTCTCTGGGCTCTGCATTTCCCTTCAGTAAACGCTAGCCCGTCGGGTGGCTGAGTGGACACAGGACAATGAGGGAGGTGTATTGCAGCACCCAGGTATCGCCCCACAACAGGCCACCCCCAAACTTAGCGGTGGTTTGGGCTCAGCTCACCTGGGAGGTCACGCATCTATTTTGTGGCTGTGGTGGGGGGCGGGGAGGGGGAGAGTCAAGGCGGATTCTCCTCCACGTGGCCTCACCTGTGGCCACGCGGGATACCCAGCCCCTTGCAAAAGTGCTTACTCCTTGCTGGCTTGGAGTTTGCAGGTGTCCCACCGCTAGAGGGCAGTCGGGGGCCAGGCCCAGAGCACCGGGAACTGGACTGCGCCAGGGCTGCAGAGAAAGAGGGAAAGAGTGTATTGTTCGTTTGTGACCCCGATGGGCCCCGTGCAGAAAGATCGAGGTGCCCCGGGGACTTCCCGAGCCCCTACTTAAGCTCTAGGCACTGTGATTGTCGTGTACCCTGGAGGCCTTCTCGGAGAAGGAGCCCCAGAACGCTCAGAGCTGCAGCTCTCAGAGCCAGGAGGCTGCAGGCTCAACACCTGTGTAGTCAGCGCTTACTGGGCACTGCAGGCAGCCTGATTTTTTTTTTTTTAAAGGTTTTTGCCATAGGGCACGTGAGAAAAAGAGACAGTGAGAGAAAGGGGAGAATTAACCCTACAGAGGGGATGGTGCACCACAGTACCCTCTTCTCCATTCTCTCTGTCTGTCCTACTCAGAGAGAGAGACAGACAGACAGAAAGCGAGAAATCACCCCAGAGGGGATGAGACAGAAAGCGAGAAATCATCCCAGAGGGGATGGCCACTCCGCAGTCCCTTCTCCTCCATTCTCCTCTCGGAATCTTGGGCATGCACACACACGTGCCCGGTGTGAGTCGGGACTCGAACCATGATCAACTACATGGAAGTCCACCGACATAGCCATTATGCTAACTGCTGGTCCGTCTTCCAGGGATTCTTGAACGTGTGTGCAAACATGCCCAGCGTGACTTTTTTCAGGCTGCCAGCACCAGGACTCAAACTGCTGGGAGACCAGCACCTTAAGCGCCATACTACCTGCTGGCTAAGTTTGAGTGCCTACGGACACTGCTGACCTGCCAGTGTGCGCTAATCGGGTGGTGGGGCTCTCAGTGTTCTGTTTTATTTTTATTTATTTATTTATTTTTGGAGAGAGAGAGATTTTTGCTATAGAGTGAGTGTGCTCTGCCAGAGAAAGCAGAAATCACCCCCCGGGGGAGGATGGCCACACCGCAATCCCTTCTCCTCCATTCTCCCCTCGGGATCTTGGGCACTGCACACACGCGCGCCCAGGATGAGTTTAAGCCCTGGTCCGGGATTCGAATTGCTAGCGACTATGTGGAAGTCCAGCAATCTAACCATCATCTGTAACTTATTGGGCTCCCCGGAGGCCCCGAGTGCTTACTGGATGCAGCAGACAGGGAGTGTGTGGTTATTGGATACCGTGGGTACACAGCTAGTGTCTATTGGGAGCCGGCAGCGAGCGTTTACTGGGTGCTGCGGGCGCATAGCGAGCGCTGATTGGACACAGCGGCAAGGCAGCGTGTGCTTATTGGGTGCCGGGCAGCGAGCGCTTATTGGGTGCGTGGGCAGAAAAGGAACGTTTATGGGGCACAGTGGTCAGACTATACGTTGATTGGGTGCCTCAGGCATATAGAGAGTGCTGATTGGGTGCCATGGGCACGCAGCTAGTGCTTATTGGGTGGCGGGGACACGTGGCGAGCACTGATTTGGTGCGGTGGGCACATAGCGAGCGCTGATTGGGTGTAGGGGCACATAGCGAGCGCTGATTGGGTGCAGCGGGCACATAGAGAGCGCTGATTGGGTGCAGCGGGCACATAGCGAACGCTGATTGGGTGCTGCGGGCACATAGCGAACGCTGATTGGGCAGGCAGTGGATGTCTCGGGCTGTCCACACTTAATAAGCTCCGGTTCTTACCAGGCTTAATTAACTCTGGGCGTGGAGTGTGAGGCATCTTCTTGTGGGATTGGGGTACCCTATGGCCTGCGGGAGCCCTGGAGCAGGAGGGGCTGCCTGAAGGGTCAGCAGTCCCCCGCCAAGTCTCCCTGTCCCTGTCTGTCCCTGTCCTGTCCCCACTCTCCTGTGTGATCTGCTGTCCCCTTCGCCGCTGTGCCGCACTCGCCATACCAAATGCTCTATGGTGCTCTGCGGTCCCGTCTTTGCCCGTGTAGACCCGTCTCCTCTCCTCCCCAAAGATCGCCACCCCGCGGTTCCCTCTCAGCCTCCCACTCCCACTTTTTCCCAAGGCTGCTTCCCATGGGGTCATCAGTGACTTTCTTGGGGTAAAGACATCCCCTGCCCCTCTCTGGTCCCAGGATCCTAAACTTTCCCGTTTTGTAGAAGAGGAAACCGCGGCTCCGAGAGGTGAGGCAGCCCAGGGGCGGAAGCAGCAGGATCCACACCCAGACCTGCAGACCTCCGAGCTTCGCCCCAGCCTGCAGCCCTGACCCCCACCCTAGCTCCCTGGTCCGCCACAGCCCGGCTCTGGGACACGACCTCAGAAGACCCAGCACCGGTGGATCGCGCTTCCCTCCTGCTCCAGCCCGCAGCCTCCAGGCCCAGCTGCGAATGTCCCCATATGTCGCCTCCTTGTTCCTGGACTCCCTGGAGGGCATCCTGGAGGTGCCATTACTGTGAGCCCAGCTCTGTGCTGGAGTCTGCGAAGGCTCATCTCCTTTCATCTCCAGGCTGCCCTATAAGGTGGTGGTCACCCCCAAATACACGTGGGAAAAGAGTCGGAGGGGCAGTGTGACTGTGCGGGGTCACACAGCTTTAGAGAGTTCCAGAGTCATGTGGTCTCAACCCTGCTTAGGATGCGCTGTGTGACGTAGGTCTTGGCGCTGGCCCTCTCTGGTTTTCCTCTTCTCCATCTGGACAAGAAAAGGTTGGATTGGACCTTTTGTAGGGTACCCTCTTCCTGTCTTGAGCAGAAACACTCACCCCAGGCTCAGACCACGTGGAGATATTGCCCTTAGATCCAGGGACGGACACGGAACCTTAGACTGACCAAAGTCCCTCATCTCCCAGGGGGACAGAGACTACTTCAAGATGGGACCCAACGAGAGGGCTTCCCTGGGAATTTTGCTGGCAATGTGAAAAAGGAACTGTTTTCCTACCCAAGTGGTCGAGCTGGGTGCATGGAAGAGGAAGACTTGAGAAAGTTTGTGTGGGGGTCCTGGATCCAGCCACACCTGACGCTGCCTTCACGTGTCCCTCAAAGAACATTTTTGCAGAGATTACTCTGCGTCTTTGTGTGACCAGCTGCAGAAGTGCCCATGCTGATCTTCATGAATTCTAAGCCTGGGCGATCACGTGCCCAGTGTGTAACCTCCAAAGCCAGCTGTCACCTCACTGGGAGCCCCGGAATCCTTTGTTCCAATAAAAGAAGGAAGATCAGAATGGTGTTGTTTGAGTGTAGCCAGAGTGGGTCTGGGCCCATAGCTCTGGAAGGATCCTTCATCTTGGGGGTTATGGGGTGGTTGGGAGGTGGGGTGGTGAGGGCTGGGGGCTTTGGGTCTGTTAAGGGATCCGAGGGCCAGGGAAGGGTTTCGGGGTGCAGAAGATGTCTAAGAATGGGGCCGGCAGGTGATGTGGTTAAGGGCACTGGACTCCCATATGGCTGACTGTGGTTCGAGTCCCGGATCTGGCAGCTTGCTTTCTCACTTTCTCTCTCACGCTGTCTCTTTCTGATCAAATGAAAATAAATAAATGAATAAAGTTAAATAAAATAATTCTTTTTTTTTTTTGACGGGGAGAGGTTTTTGCTGTAGGGCACCTGCACTTGCCAGTGTAGGGCACATGCACTTGCCAGAAAGAGAGAGACAGAGAGGCAGAAAGCGAGAAATCACCCCCCAGGGGGAATGGCCACGCCGCAATCCCTTCTCCTCCATTCTCCTCTCGGGACCTTGGGCACGCACGCACACACGCACTAGTCTAGGCCGCTGGGCCCGGGATTCCAACCGGGTCGACTATGTGGGAGTGCAGCGACAGCGACGGAATCCTAACGTTGTCCCCTAACTGGTTCATTTTAATCTCATTTCAATGTCCCAAGGCCTTTCAAATCCAGAGGGCGCCTCACCTCCTCTGGACGCCAGGGGGCGCAAGAGGCAAAGCCGTGTCCAGGAGCTCGGCCTTGAGGTCAGCTCCAAACTCCAGGCTGGTCCTGATGGCCATATGCCGTCCCCAGTGCTTGTCCTTTTCCACCCCACACCTCCTGCTCCCATTTTCCAGAGAGCCAACTGAGGTTCCCAGGGGCTGGGTTCTCCAGCAAGACTTCACGTGGGGGCACTGAGCCTTGCGGGGTGAAGATGACCTGGAAGGGGTCCCGGTCCCCTCCAAATCTGTGGCTGGGGTAAAAGGAGACCCAAAGACCCAACCGATTTGCCCTTGGGCCGTCCACATGGTCAGAACCAGAATCACACTTCCGCTGTTTTTTTTTCATTTCATTTATTTATTCATTTTCTTTTTTTTAAATAATTATTTATTTTATTTTATTTATTCATTCATTTTATATTTTAGTTTGACCAGAGAGAGACAGAGGGTGAGAGTGAGAGAGAGAGAGGAAGTGAGAAAGCAAGCCCCCAGATTCAGGACTAAAAAAACCCTGGTCGGCCATGTGGGAGTGTCCAGCGCCTTAACCACCATGCCACCTGCTGGTCCCTTATTCGTTCATTTTCATTTGACTAGAGAGACAGAACGAGAGAGCAAGTCACACAGTCCAGGACTCGAACCGCGGTCGGCCATGTGGGAGTCCAGATTCCCCGACCACCATACCACCTGCCAACCCCTTGTTTGTTTGTTTAATTAGGACCAGCAGGTGGCACGGTGGTTAAGGAGCTGGTTAACCACGTGGTTTGAGTCCCGGACCTGGTGGCTTACTTTCTCATGCCCTCTCTCTCTCTCTATCACTCTCTGGTCAAATTAAAATAAATAAATGGATAAATAAAGTTAAATAATAAAATAATTTTTAAATAATTTATTTTTTATTTATTCATTTATTTTTTTTAACTTGACCAGAGAGAGACAGAGGGTGACAGTGAGAGAGAGAGAGGAAGTGAGAAAGAAAGCAAGCCACCAGATTCAGGACTCAAACCCTGGTTGACCATGTGGGAGTGTCCAGCGCCTTAACCACCACGACACCTGCTGGTCCCAGTAATAAAATAATTGTTTTTTTTTTTAAAAAAAAAAAGGAATGATTTAATTTTGGGGGGCAGCCGGTGGTAACCAGGAATGGTTACTTTGCTGGATTCCCACATGGCTGACCACAGTTCGAGTCCCGAACCTTGTGGCTTGAAATTTACGCCGGGCACATGTGCATGCATGCCCCAAATCCCCAGCGAATGGAGAAGAGATTGTGGCATGACCATCCTCTCCCCCACCGGGGAAGGGGCTGAGTTCTCACGTTCCCTCTCTCTCTGTCTCTCTTTCCAGCAAGCTCACACACCTTATAGCAAAAACTTCAAAAATAAATGAATAAATAAGCTTCCAAAAAAAGATGAGCCTGGCAGTGCTTCAGTGGTTAAGGTGGTGGGATCCCACACGGTTGACTGCATGGTTCAAGTCCCGGACCCGGTGATCTTGAAACATGTGGAGTACATGTGTGTGCATGGGAGAAGAATTGGGGAGGAGGAAGTTTGATCATTCCCTGTGGGAAGGAGATTTCTCACTCCCCCCCCCCGTCTCTGTCTCTCTCTCCCTAAAAATCTCTGTCTCTCTCTCTCTCTCTGGTGAGCCACACGCACCGTATTGCAAACTAATAAAAGAAAAATTGGGGCCAGCAGCTGGTACAGAGATTGAGGCACTGGAGCCTACGTAGCCAACTGCATGGTTCAAGTCCCAGACCCGGCAGCTTGAAAAACACACTGGCTGAGTGTGCGTGCGTGCCCAAAACCCTGAGAGGAGAATGGAGGAGAAGGGATTGCGGGGTAGCCATCCCCACTTGCGGGTGATTCTCATTTTCCATCTTTCCCTCTCTCACTCCGTTTGACGACCACGCACAGCCTATTGTAAATTAATTTTAAAAATAAAATGAGGGAACCAGCAGTTAGCGTAATGGCTATGTCACTGCACTCCCACGTAGTCAACCGCAGTTCGCGTCCCCGACCCGGTGGCTTAGAACTCACACCGGGCGCGTGTGCGTGCGTGCCCAAGATCCCGAGAGGAGAATGGAGGAGAAGGGAGTGCGGCGTGACCATCCCCCCTGGGGGGGGATGTCTCTCACTTTCTGTCTCTCTGTCTCTCTCTGTCTGGCGAACGCACGCGCCCCGTAGCGAAAACCTCTCCCAGAAATAAGTAAATAAATAAATTAATTAAATGAAAGAAACCCATGGAGACACTTTGGTGCCCCATACACTAGCCTGGCCCAGAGGAGGCCTCAGACAGAGGTGGGGGAGACAAAACCAGACACATTCTGGGCTGGAAGGTGGCATGGTGGTTAAGGCACTGGACTCCCACGTGGTCGACTGTGGTTCTAGTCCCAGATTTAATAATGGTAATAATAAACAAAATTAAATAAATAATTGTTAAAAAGAAGAAAAAACAGATGGCCAGCAGGTGGCTGAATTCCCACATGGCTGACCATGGTTCGAGTCCCGGACTTGGCGGTTTGCTTTCTCACTTTCTCTTTCTCTCTCTCTCTTTCTGTCTGTCTCTCTTTGGTCAAATTAAATAAATAAATAAAATGGAGCCAGCAGGGCGTGGTGGATAAGCTGCTGACTTCCACATGGCTGACCAGAGTTCAAGCCCTGGACCTGGCGACTTGCTTTCTCACTTTCCCCTTCTCTCGTTCATTCTCTCTGTCTTTTTGGTCAAATTAATAATAATAATAATAATAACAACCATAACAACAGCAACAGATAAAATTCAATAATTTTTTAAATAATTATTTTAAATTTATTTATTTATTTTAATTTGACCAGATAGAGAGGCATGAGTTTAAGCCACCGGGGACTCGAACCATGATCAACTACATGGGAGTCCAGTGAGATAGCCATTATCACCAACTGCTGGTCCTATAAAATGATTTAAAAAAAAAGAAAACAAGTGATAAGTGCTGGAAAGGAAACAGGTGGGAGATGACCTTAAATGAAAAGAGATTGGGACCAGCAGTTAGCGTAATGGCTATGTCGCTGGTCTCCCACGTAGTCGACTGCGGTTCGAGTCCCGGACCCAGGGCTTAAACTCACACCGGGTACATGTGCGTGCGTGCCCAAGATCCCGAGAGGAGAAAGGAGGAGAAGGGATTGCAGCGTGGCCATCCCCCCAGGGGGTGATTTCTCGCTTTCTATCTCTCTGTCTCTGTCTCTCTCTGTCTGGCGAGCGCACACGCCCTATAGCAAAAACCTCTCCAAATAAAAAAAGGTTAAAAAAGAAAGAGGTCGAGGATGGGATTTGGAGCAGGGCCATGATAGGTGGGTCTTGAGATAGATTTCCTGGGGCCAGCAGGTGGCATAGTGGTTAGACACTGGACTCCCACATGGTCGACTCTGGTTCGAGTCCTGGACCCGACAACTTAACATTCACACCAGGCGCGTGTGCATGCATCCCCAAGATGCCAAGAGGACGATGGAGGAGCCTGGGGGAGGGGGTGTGATTTCTCGCTTTCTGTCTCTCTCTTGTCTCTTTGGCAAGTGCACACGCCCTATAGCAAAATAAAAACTCTCAAAAAAAATTCTATCACCGTAAAAGAAAATACAAACTATGGGTGTCCCTGTCTTCTGAGAAGAGCACAGTGAAACTTGGGGTACCTGTGAATGGGGCACCCACACTAGTGATGGTGGTGGATACAGAACAGGAGCCGGGGTGCAGGTGACAAGGAGGGACCATTAAAGGGAACGGGCACGCTGAATGATGGGAAACGCGGACCATAATTGGAAGAGGCATGGGGGCCTGAAAGGTGAGAGAGGGCGGCAGAGAACTGGGGGGACTGTGAGGGGCAGCCCCAGCTTGCTGGGTTCCTGCCGGGCCAGCCCTTCCCGCCACACCCCGCCTGCTCCCAGTGCAGCTCCAGCTGCCACCCTCACGTAACCAGAGCCTGGCTGTTGCATCAGAGGCGGGCGGGCCTCCGCGGGTAAACAGAGCAGCCCTCGGGGGCGCCGGGGCTCCCCAGCCACCTCCACGTTCCCCAAGCCTCGTTCTGCCCCTTGGAGCAGAGACAGAAGCCCCCAGCCTGACCCTGGCCCTGGTGTGTCCTGGGGACTTGTGAGTGTGGGGCCTTGAGCTGGAACCAGGTCATGGTTGAGGGGGATACTTATTTTATTATTTTTTAATGATTTCTTTTCATTTTATTTATTCATTTATTTTCATTTGACCAGAAAGAGACACACAGAGAGAAACAAAGTCAGAAAGCAAGCCACGAGGTCCAGGACTTGAACCGTGGTCAGCCATGTGTGAGTGTCCAGTGCCTTAACCACCACGCCACCTGCTGACCCCTTTATATATATATATATATATTTATGTGTTTATTTCTTGAGAGAGATTTTTGCTATAGACTGCAAGCACTTACTGGAGAGAGAGACAGAAAGCGAGAAATCACCCCCTCGGGGGTTAGCCACGCTGCAATCCCTTCTCCTCCATTCTCCTCTCGGGATCTTGGGCATGCACGCACACGCGCCCGGCGTGAGTTTTAAGCCACCAGGTCCGGGACACGAACCGCGGTCGACTACATGGGAGTCCAGCGACATAGGCATTATGCTAACTGCTGGTTCCCTTAAAGATTATTTTAATTGTATTTATTTATTTTTAATTTGACCATAGTGGTATAGAGTAAGAGAAAGTGAGAACGCAAGCTGCCAGGTCCAGGACTCGAACCGTGGTCAACCATGTGAGAGTCCAGCGCCCTTCACCACCATGCCACCTGCCGGTCCCCCAAGGTGATGGACACCAGGCTGGCATTGAAGCCTGCACTGCCCCAATGCAACCCCGTCTCTCCACTTCTGAGCACCTGCCCCAGCTCCCAGCCCCCCTGTCTGCCTCCATCACCCTCATCTTCCCCCACAAAGAATGCTCTGTGCTCTTCCTCTGCACCTTAGCAAAGGCTATCCCTTCTGGAAAAGCCCTTTCCTGGCTCCTGCTCACCTCGGAAGGCCCAGTACAAATGCCACCTCTTCTGGGAAGCCCTCCCTGATTTTCCCCGCACAGATTTTTGTCCCCAATTCTGGCCTGTCCCAGTCTCCCATCTCTTCCTCTGGCACAGCCCTGACCCTCCAGGGTTAGGAGAGTGTGTGTTGACTCCGTGTCTCCCAGGTTGGGAGAATTTTCCAGAACTTTCCAGTGGGGGTCCCGAGGTGGATGGCACAGAGGCTGTGGAACACTGCACACTGCTGGAAGCCGTATTTAAGAACAGGGTCCTAGGGGCCAGCAGGTGGCGTGGTGGTTGAGGTGTCGGACTCCCACATGGCTGACTGTGGTTCGAGTCTCAGAGCTGGTGGCTTACTTTCTCACTTTCCCTTTCTCTCTCTCTCTCTCTTTAAGAATGATTTCCTTTGTCTAAATAAATAAATAAAAAGGAAAAAAAAAAAAACAGAATTATTTCCTTTGTTTTATTTATCATTATTGTTATTTTTAATTTGACCAGAGTGAGACTGAGAGAGAGAGAAAGAAAGCAAGACTCCAGGTCTGGGATTTGAACCATGGTCAGCCATGTGGGAGTCCAGATCGTTTAACCACCCCACCACCTGCCAGCCACACTTCTTTCTCTCTTAATGAGAGAAAGAAAACATTTGTTTTGCTCCAACTGCCAGGGGAAAAGAAAAAGATTGCTTAGGCTAGAACCATGTTCATCCTGTAATTTTTTCCAAAATAAATGGTCTGGTCATTTCTTCTCTGAACATGTTTTGGCCTGGTCCTGTGCTGGGTGGTGCTGGGTGGTGCTGGGATCACAGGGGAAGGCACGGATTTAGAGCGCTGGGTTGGGGTCCAGTCCTGGAAGCCCCCATCCCCCCAATACCTGACCTTTGAGATTGGGGGTAAATAGGGGCCAGAGGGGAGAGGGAACATCAGGGGTGTGGATGGTGGGAAGTGTGTGGTTTTTCTGTAGAAGCTCTCTCTCTTTTTTTTTTTTGTAGAGGATTTTTGCTATAGGGTGTGTGCGCTCGCCAGAGAGAGAGACAGAGAGACAGAAAGCGAGAAATCACCCCCCAAGGGGGATGGCCACGCCGCAATCCCTTCTCCATTCTCCTCTCGGGATCTTGGACGCACACGCGCCTCGCGTGAGTGTTTAAGCCACCGGGTCCGGGACTCGAACCGCAGTCAACTACATGGGAGTCCAGCAACATAGCCATTACGCTAACTGCTGGTCCCTAGGACCTCCTTCTCTCCAGGTCTGGGGCTGGGAGTGGTTCAAGTTAGGGGACAAGATCTAAATTGGAAGCAGGGGCACAACAGGGTCAGGGGTCAGCAGTCAGGTCACGGGGCGCCCACCCAGGAGGAGGAAGCCTCCTTCCTGCATTGGACGCTTCCCCTGCTCCGCGTCGGTGTGAGCAAGTCCCAGGCGGCTGGACTCCCGGGGCGGGGCCACGCCCAAGTGCCCGCCCATCTCAGCCGCGGTGACGCCCTCTATGCAAATGAGGCGCCAGGTCCAATCAGCTCCCGGGGGCGGAGCCTCCCGCTCGGAAGGCACCTGCAGCCGCTGGCGCCGGGAACTCTGTGCAGCCGCCGCCGCAGGTCCATGCGCCGAGCGTCCGAGGACCGAGGCTGAGCAGGTGCGTGTCGGATCGGGTTGGGACCCCCCCTCCCCAGGCGGTGTCCTCTGAACGCTTTCCGTGAGCTGGATTGGATTCGGAGGTGCAGGCGTGCGTCAGAGTCGTGTGTCTACGGGGCGTGCATCCGAGAGGGTTGGAAATCTAAGTTGCGTATGGAGGGTTTGCGCGTCTGAGACGTTTGGACACAAGGGACTGTCTCTCCAAAGAGTGTGCCCGAAGGCGGTGTGACTCTGAACACTGTGATTGCAAGAGGCGGTGTGTCCGAGGGGGTGTGTGTCCCAAAGTTGTGTGTCTAAGAGGCGTCTATGGTTTGGATGGCAGTTGGAGAGTTTCCACGTGTCCAAAGCTTTGGTGCTGCGGACCCCTGTCCCCGTTATATCTGCGTTGTGTCCCCTTCTTTGGGTTCACACCCCTTTGGCATCGGAGAGGACCCTGTAAACACCCCATGCCTTCCCACTGGGGGTGGGCCATTGTGTTTGGGAGCAAGAGGGTGAGCACAGAGTCCTGAGATGGGGTGGGGGTGGCACAGCAGCCTGGCCCACCCCAACCTCTGTGCCTCAGTGTCACATCTGGAAACTAGGGTCCAGAAAAGTCGCAACTTTCTGAGGTTCTGCGTTTATTTTCATGGACTCGGCGCCCCTCCCTCCCTGCCTCTCTCAGGGTCCAGGGTGCAGACGTCAGCAACCCCCCCGGGTTCCAGGCTACACCGCCACCCCCGGAGTTGCAGACCCGAGAAGTCAGAAATAGCTGAAGCCCTGTGCGTGTCCTGGCTGAGAATCCTCACGGAGGTCACGGCCTCTTGGCATCTAGGGAGGAGCTCTGAGACTCTCGAAGCGAAGGAAACTGGGTTCCAAAAACTACAGGGGGGGCTGGCTGCTGTGGCGCGAAGGTAATGTAGGTGGCCTCCAGTGTTGGCAACCATTGGTAGATCGCAGGTTCGGATCCCCGGGTTGGCTTGAAAATATACTGGGCACATCTGTGTTTACCTAGAATCCTCAGAAGCTGGAAGGCCAAATGGGGGACCAGCAGTTAGCGTAATGGCTATGTCGCTGGATTCCCATGTAGTTGACCGCGGTTCAAGTCCCGGACCCGGTGGCTTCAACTCACGCCAGGCACGTGTGCATGAGTGCCCAAGATCCTGAGAGGAGAATGGAGGAGAAGAGATTGCGGCGTGGCCATCCCCCCTGGGGGGTGATTTCTTGCTTTCTATCTCTCTGTCTCTCTGTCTGGTGAGTGCATGCACTCTACAGCAAAAACCTCTCAAAAAAAAAAAAAAGTACAAGAGGGGAAATGGAAAAATTAAATTAGGGCTAGCTCATGGCATGGTGCATTAAGGCAGCTGGATCCCACAAGACTGACTGTGCGGTTCGAGTCCCAGACCTGGCGGCTTGAGAAACACGCCAGGCACATGTGTGTGCGTGCATGTATGTGCGCCCCAGATCCCGAAGGGATGGGGAAGGGATTGCGGGGTGACCGTTCTCCGCGGACATGCTTTCTCACTTCTCCTTTCTCTTTTTCTGTCTCACCCAGACCAATGACAAAAATATGGGAGGAAAATAGGGAATTTCTTAAAAAAGATTAAAAAAAAAAAGAAAAGAAAAATAGAATTTAAGTATGAGTTTATTTTAGTGCCAGAAAATTTGGAAATCTAGGCGTAGTTTTTTTTTTTTTTTTCATGCTATGCATTTTCCACAAATGGTTTGAAGAATCCTTGAAATTTAGACTTTCCAGGGACCAGCAGGTGGCATGGGGGTTAAGGTGCTGGACACTCCCACATGGCTGACCACGGTTCAAGTCCTGGACCTGGTGGCTTGCTTTCTTACTCTCTCTCTCTGTCTTTCTCTGGCAAAACTCATGTGAAAAATAGTATTAACAATAATAATAATAATAAATAAATCATTCTTAAAAAGAAAAAGAAATTTAGACTTTCCAGGAGTAGGGTCTAAGGATCCATTTACAGATCAAAAAAGGCTTCCTGAGCCTTGCTCCTGCTCCCTCCCATCCTTCGCTGTCACCCATTGGCTGTCTGAACCAAGGAGGATTTGTGACCTCCAGGGAACAGAATTTGGGGGGGGGGGCCATTGAGGGCTTGGAGTCTTTGACCTTGCAGAAGTGCCGACTGAAGCCAGGT